ATTCTCTTGAGTTCCCACTGATCTATATATTAACATGCCGACTGTTCAGATGTTCACGAAGTTGATTTACATCCTCCACTTCATTAAGGATGATAAAAGCACGTGCCGTAGATAATATGCAGATTTGAAACTCTTAGGACGTTCCATCAACCGCTGCTTTTAATGGTAACACAAAAATTGAATAGTTAACGATGGAGCTAATCTGGGACCCATCACAAATCCATCAGGTTGGTAGTAGATGTCACCATTAAAAAGGAGAATTTGACTCCTCGGTTGCAAATTCCAGAAGTTGTTGAGAAACTGGTTTGGGAAATGTATCATTTTCATAAATTAAATTTGTCACCAGCTTTAATGTTACCTTTAAAGTAAAGTTTGTGTATAAAGTTTCAATGTACATTTCTATTACATTTTAGATCCCGCTCATCATTGGAAAACAAAAAACTATTTTTTATGGTGTACTCGCTACGAGTACACTGATCCAAAAATTCCACCAGAAAAGTCTGCTAGTTCGTAGTAATTAGTGCCTATATTTGACACGCTAGGATGAACTGAACAATTTTCTTTATGAATTCTTGACTACCATATAATATTACCAGGATGGCATCAACAAATTTTGTTTTAAGATATTCATCTTTTGCCATTAGATTGTCTTCTCAGATTTAAATAGAAATTTTTATAATCTTTTTTTTTTGTTGTTGTTGTTATGATCACTTTCGAGTTTATGAACTTACTATTATCATTTAAAATCCTTTTATTTTTAGAAATTAATCAGGTTTACATAAGACCATAACACCATTTCCTTTACAGGGTTTCATATTCACAATGTTCTCATTTTACTGAACTCATTAATATTAGGATATTTATATTTATAATTATTCTTATTTAAAATCTATATCACTGATCTGAGTTTCTAATACTATCTCCTGAATCAGTTATAACATCTCAGATCTGTTATTTAGACGCTGTTTAAGTAACTTGGAAATCTAAGTAGGTGATATATAAAACAAAACTTTCCTTTCATTTGCATCTAACTTATAATTAGATAAATTTCGTATGACTTTATCCGGATTGTTAATAACATCGTTGCCTTCTCCACTGGTTCACATTATTCAACCGTTTTTTTCCTCCTACACTAAAATAAGTAGCTATTATTTTGTGTACAGATCCAATTATATAAATGAACATAATAACATTTTCTGACCTCCTGCTTAAGAATCAAACAAGAATTCAAACTAACAATTAAGTTATTTACATGCCTTACTTTTCTCTTTAATTTAAAAATTTAATAAATGTTTTCTACATTTTTGGTTGTCTAATATAACTAACATGCCTAGTAAAAACTTGCAAATTTACCAATTTCGGGAAAAAACCTTTAGATTTTTACATTCATCCAAAAATTTATAATGTAACTGCCTGCTTTTTTTTACAAAATTTAATACCCCCCAGTGGCACAGCGGTATGTCTGCGGACTTACAACGCTATAATCCGAGTTTCGATACCCGTGGTGGGCAGAGCACAGATAGTCCATTGTGTTGGTTTGTGCTTAACTTCAAACAAACAAACACAGTTTAATATACCACTTTCCTGTCTTTCTTACTTGTGATAATTAGTTGGTTGGTTGTTGATAAGCACAAAGCAACACAATGGACTATATGTGTTCCCCACCACAGGTGTTCCCCAGTGGCACAGCGGTATGTCTGCGGACTTATAACGCTAGAATCTGGGTTTCGATACCAGTGGTGGGCAGAGCACAGATAGCCCTTGTGTAGCTTTGTGCTTAACTTCAAACAAACAAACACAGTTTAATATACCACTTTCCTGTCTTTCTTACTTGTGATAATTAGTTGGTTGGTTGTTGATAAGCACAAAGCAACGCAATGGACTATATGTGTTCCCCACCACAGGTGTCCCCCAGTAGCACAGCGGTATGTCTGCGGACTTATAACGCTAGAATCTGGGTTGGATACCAGTGGTGGGCAGAGCACATATAGCCCTTGTGTAGCTTTGTGCCTAATTTCAGACAAACAAACAAATACCACAGGTATCGAAATCCGAATTTTTGGGGTCTTGAGCTTAACTTACCACTGGAGCGGTTGTGATAAATCGAAAATGCCATCTATATTTTAACAAGAGTAGTATTCGGTATATGTTTTGGAATCTAAGCATGACAATAAAATTTACTACAAGAAAAACTGTGACATACATTATATACGATGATTTACATCATTATCAAATAAAAACTTAAATATAAAGTCATACCTATTCAAAGTAAGTATTCAGAAGCAGAGAATGCTCATTTCAATATCGTAATCCAAATTAACAACGAAAGCAGTGGAAGTATTAAAGACACTTTGCTAGTTAAGCGGCTGAAACCCCAAGTTAACGAAACTGGATTATCTACAAAACTATTGCTAAAATTATGATGACTTTGGTTGAGTACGAAATATTATGAGATTTCCAAACTTTTCCAATTTTATTTATGTTAATTTCTAAGTTAGAGTAAGTGATTTTTAATTGGTGTATGTATTGTAACGAGGAGGAGGTGTTAAAAATAATGTGCTTTATTTGAATTGTATATTTTAATATTTAAGGTTTTAGTGATAGTTGAAATAGGAGATTGTTTTTTTTTTTGAAGTTTTAGTTAGGGTATGTGCATCTACATTGAGTGGGAGGAGGTTTTAAATATGATGTGATTTAACTAAAGAAATAAATTAAATATTCAGATTATTTCTTATAATCCCGTTATAGGGCCTTCAATGACCTGATATTCGCGTTTCGGAATGCCTATTATATATAGTTGAGGTTCGATACCCGATGCCCCTGAACACAATCTGCCTTTTCGTATTAAACAATACCGATATTTGATTTAAAGAGCCAGACAAAGCCATTGTAGCAGTAAGTGATGTTGATTGACTGCCTTCTTCTCGCCAGTAGTTCAAAATTAGGGACATTTATACCTAATCACTAGGGGGTCTCAGAGCTTGCCGTGTAAACCATGTGTCGCCTAATGTGTCATTAACGTTAAAATACCGATTTCAGTTTGTTTTACTGAACTTTAACTTTTAAATAATTTTTATATCTCACCTAAAATATATATCAAGGCACGTAGTTTTTGGCATTTGTCTTTAAGTAATTTATTTTTAATTACAAGGATAGAAATTCGGTACAGTGCCGAAAAGATTTTTAAAATTATAATGTTGTTTTTAATAGGAAATCACTTAGTGATCATCAGTTTTTTTCACTTTCTAATTCGTTTTCCGATAAAATGCAAAGCGCTAATTATTGCTCATAGTAATACGTTTGATGAAACAATCACAACTGGACCGATGATGGAATAACGTTGGGAGACTTAAAGTAAGAATAGTTAATAAATGATGGCGTTTTAGCTATTTTTTTCCTTTGTTGCAGGTTTTTCACTAAATATAATAACTCATCAGGCCGCTTTAGTATCAACGTAAAAAAACCATAGCTCATCACTTATATATTGTCGTTTAAAAATGTTTTAATTGGTTGATAAAACAGAAATGTGATCACGTTTATTGTAACAAATGCGACTGAAGGTGACAGTAAGATTGTTAATGAGTTTAAACTCGTAAGCAAGACTGGCGAGTTCAAAAGTTATCATCACAGTTGTGCTATTTCGTCATATTGTAACCCTAAAGTATTATCATATATGATATACAGAGATATACATAATTTTTTATTATATATTTACAGTTTTATATTTAATGTACTAGTAGAATGTAAGTACCATTTAATGGTTTTTCTTCATTAGGGATATTTATTCCAATATAAATTACATAAACTTGATTTTGTGTGAGAGTTTTGATTACAATACGTAAGAATAAACCCAACCTAGTTGTCTCCCCACCATCACCACCAATGGCTTAACGGTAAGTGTAACGGCATATAAAGCTAAAAACTGAGTTTCAATACCCGTGGTGAGCACAACACAGATAGCCCATTGTGTAGCTTTGTATTTAATAATGTCAGCAAAAGGTTTCTGATAATTTTACTCTCATTATTACATGGTCTACCTTCCACTACATTGTTGTATGCTTTTTTTGTACTTGTACGTTTTTTGAAACTATTGCAAGGATGATTTACGTATTTAACCTTGTTTCATCTTGGGAAGTACTTAACAATTACTTGATCATTCATGCAGTGTGAGTGAAATTCTCCTTTTATCTTATTTAACATCGATTTTTGTTTCATGGTGAGGTGTTTTCCTTTATCATTGCTTACGCTTCTCCAGTTTTAATTCTTACTTCGCACATTATCGTAGTATTTTCCAGCTTCGTTTAGTGTAACTGACGAAAGTGATGAAAAATATCAATAGTTTCATATACAAATGTGGAAAATTAGATACAAAAGTTATATATAAGTAAGTTTAAGTTTTACTAACATAAATATTTTCTGCAGCAAACTTTGTTTAAAATCCTGACTCTTGTTGGTCAGATTTCTTTTTTTAATTAAATATTTAAAGTATGTCACAGGGCATAATGCAGTGATATTACCTATTTTATATACTGCAATATGCCATTTAAAGATCCATTCACTTTCGTATTGAGTACGCACACAGGTTTCTTTCGGTTTCTCACTTTATCTGTAGGAAAGAATTGTTCAATTTTGAAATTATACTTGTCATTTCATAATCTGTGTTGACAGGTATTTACAAAAATTGAATTTAATACATAAGATTTATATCTAAATTGGAAAGAAAGTATTAGAGTATTCTATGGCTTCTGTAAAATATTTCTGAAAATATGTGTATTTGTTTTATGTTCACTTGAAAACACAGAAGACTTGACTACGTTCATTTGACTCTAGAGAAACGAATCAAAAAGACAGCGCGAACGTATACATAACAAAGTGCAAAAACAAGCTTTTATCAAATTGTTTATAAAAGTCTTTTGATTATGTTTTAAACAATTGTTTTTTTTCACATCTATTATATTTTTATCATTTATGAAATTATTATTATTATTTTTTTTGTTTAGATAATCCTCAGTTATCACTCGAACTTGGGGCCCGTATCAAAAAAGACGATGTCAAAGAAGGCGATGATGTATACTTTGAATGCCACATTCGATCGAATCCTTGGGTTTCTCAGGTATTTTGGCACTTTGAAGGGCAGTCACTGACATCGAATAGCTCAATAGGAATCATCATCACTAATCAAACTCTCGTCATACAACGTATACGGCGTGAATATAGAGGGCGTTACTCCTGTTCTGCCCAAAATATCGAAGGCCTAGGTGTCAGCAATGAGATATTTCTGAAGGTTAAGTGTACGTTAGTGTACGAACTTATATCTTATTATTTATTTTTGTGATATAGGTTTTGTAGAAAATCGGTGTTACTTTTGAGATTTATGTTATAGTAGTTTAATCATATACTTCAAACATAAATGACTCTTTAGTATTCTATAGCTGTCGCCTAGACCACATGATAACTCAGAATTATATTAAATCAGTTGTTTATGAAATGTGCTCAATCTGAGAAACATCGAAAATAAGCATCTTGTACTTTGGCAAAAAATCAGAAGCATATATTCTGTTATTTCTCTTTGTTGATATTTGATCTCTCAAAATATCATTTTATATATGAATACAAGGTGAAAATTCTCTTTTTGGGACTGTTCCTACATTTAGATTATACAGAATACAATAAAAGGCAGGCGTTGTTATAGGCTAAGGGTCCTTACTTTTTTATTTATCCAAATAAAAAGCCCATAAAATAATACGATAATAAACTAAAATGGACTTTTAATTGAATTAATAAGCAAACTTTAAGCATTTAATAATGCAGTGTCGAACTCATTTTGTAGCTTCGCTAACCTTTTCCTTGTTCTTCGAAAACGGGGTTATTCCCGATTTCACACTTAGTAATAGAACTGACATTAGTAAAAGTGGGTTCAAATTTTTCTTTGTTAATATATCTTCTTACTTAGTAAAAAATTCATACTAGGGACACAAAACAAAATGAATAATTGAATTTGATCTGAAACACGAAATCGTTTGGATAACGTAAAGCGTCATTATGAAATATCAGATCAAGATGATAAGATGTTTTCGAACAATGATGATTGAATGAATCAACATATAAATCACGACATACTGTTCATGCAGCGACTCAAATTAGTGCTTTTTAATCATTGTTTCTCATAAAGGTTGGTCTTCTCAAATCTTAAAATAAAACCATCAGCTATGATAAATTGCTCTGTTTTTCTCTAAATGATAAGTAAAATATTACTTGTTCTCCAAGAAAAAATAGATTCGCTTAAGTTTTTGTTCTAAGCAACCATGCCGGTATCGCCTGTCTAAGCTTTAACATCTTAATAAATTATTTTTTTCAATTTCATTAAACTGATATTTTCATGATAAACAAAATAACTCATTATGGTAATGCTGCTTCTCTGTGCTAGGCAGCAGCGATCACATGAATTTTAAAGACCGAAACGAATATTAAAAAAATAAATATATCTTTTGTTTTATTCAAAGCATTAGATATAATTATAATTACCGAATAATGTCAAATTCTCAACGCTTTAAGAACACTGAAATTATTTTTACCTCTGAATTTGTTTTTTATATAGAAATCTAGTCTAAACATCATCTGTTTCTTTTTTTTATGCCCTAGAGTTATATTTCTTTACATTGTGTCGAGGCTTAACTGTGGATTTGCGTGATATTATTCTTTTTCAGCAGTATTAGGTTTATTTAGAAAAAAAAACATAAACATCTCTATATTTTCGCTGCTATTCACGTCGTCTTCTAAGGGTTCCAACTCTCAGAACTTCAAAACTATTTTCTGATTATTTCATTCATAGATGTTCCTCGATGTTCTCCTACTAAAAAATATACGTATGGTGTAGCGATAAACGAAGCAGTTCAAGTTTTGTGTCAGTTAGACGCTGATCCATCAGACGTTACGTTCCACTGGCGATTCAATAATACCACATCTAAACATTCGGATGCAATACAATACACAAGTAATCAGGGAGAAAGCGTTGCCACCTACACTCCTAAGACAGAGGAGGATTTTGGAAATTTGTTTTGCTGGGGTGCCAACAATATTGGCATTCAGAAAAGCCCTTGTATCTTTTCCATAGTCTCTGCAGGTGAGTTTGAAAAAAACAACAATCATATACTTATAAATCTATAAAATATATTCACGATTAAATAATGGAACACAAAATTATAAGCTACAAAAATCCGAACATAAATATCCATCCAAACTATGTAGAAAAATGTTATCTGGTCATTTAAATTTTACTAAAACGTATAAGGAAAATACTTATTCCATTGAACTACATGTTTATTAACATTTTACAATATGTTTTAATAGGCCCGGCATGGCCAGGTGGTTAGGGCGCTCTTCTCGCAATCTGCGGGTCGCGGGTTCGAATTCCCGTCACACCAAACATGCTCGCCCTTTCAGCGGTGGGGGCGTTATAATATGACGGTCAATCCCACTATTCATTGGTAAAAGAGTAGCCCAAGAGTTGGCGGTGGGTGGTGAGGACTAGCTGCCTTCCCTCTGCCTTACACTGCTAAATTAGGGACGATAAGCGCAGATAGCCCTCGTGTAGCTTTGCGCGAAATTCAAAACAAACAATATATCTTAATGAGTATTATCGTTTGATCATCATAAAGATTTTCAAATTACTTATTTCCAAACAAATAAATTTGACCGTGTTTTCTGTGGAGAATTAATAGAATGTTCATTTTATGAAGTAAATAATGTTCAAACTAGTACTAGTATAAATAAGAAATCAACTGAAAATTTCTAGCTTGTGTAAGAAAAGTTGAGTGTTTGAACAAGGTCGAAATATGAAGTTCCTGATATCACTCAGTTGGAGCTCTCATTGATAAATGTGATTCTCCATTTATAACTTCTATAAAAAATCCAAGGCAATGAAGACTGCTTTAACAATAATGAAAGGCGTATATTATATTGATGTTTTAATTTGTTTCTATTCCACGCATTTCGTTAATGCGTATAGTTAATTTTATAAGCATTACTGACCAAATAATCTATAAAATTATTTTATGTTGGAAAAATGATAATAAAGTATTATTATACATGCATTTCAGGGATATTGTGACTTTAAAACTGATTCACTCCCTAACAAATTCAGCTAAGCATCCCAACAGAAATGAATCGGGGCAAATAATGTATGGTGGCTTGATGTTTTTTTAATGCTATAAGTTTTCTAAATAATTTATAAAATAAAGCCTATACATTCTATCAATCATACGTGCACACATCACATCGTCAAAGCAATATTGCGTTTCTTATTTCTCTCTCTCTCTTTAATATGCCATGAAATAGTTTCTTTATCAGGTTTAAAATGTATCACTACACCATCTTACGAGAGGCTGAACAAACCGTGTAAGTTTTGTACACCTAGTGGTATTTCTTTTCTAAAATCATTCCTAATTGTTCATTATAATATATTAATTCTAATGAAGTTCAGTACCATTGGAATATTCCATCAAATGTTAAATGTGAAATTAGCATTAGCTACAACAGAGTGAGGTAAAAAGTATATTGCAAAATCTCTTCATAAGCTTTGGATATTTTAAAGACAGAATTACCTCGTTTTAACTGCAACTGAACAAACTGAAAACAAGTATAAGTTATAAAGCTGTAATCCCTATCTAGTCTTACTACGAAACGATAAATAGAATATACGGGACAAGTTTGACATACCTAAATGAACTGAGAGTTATAATTTTCACTGTAAATAGATAAAGTAAAAACAAATACATTGTTACGAAAACGCAACTTGTTTTAATTTGACTATGAACTGATAAAGTAGATATAACCCTACTATTCAGGTAGCTTATCCAAACTCATCGATTTATCTGTTAGGTCCTGCTTTTTATTCTTCTTTTCTATTGTAACATGCGCACAATGTAATAAGGAAATCTAACGTTTCTATATCTTGTCCATTAATAACCTCGAAAGAAAGTCGCTTATAACCTTCAATTTAATTCTTAAAAAAAAAAGAGCTAATGTTAATTCAATATATATATATATATTTTCCCACACAAGTAGGATTACCTCTGTTATCCTAACTGAAACTAATGTTACTTTTTTATTTATTTCACTAATATTTGTACTGTTCACGCTATGTAATTCTCCAAATGTTATTACATAGCGTGAACAGCCATAGAAGCAATATGAATGGTATGTAATTTAGAACAGAGGGCTAGGGTACTGAAATCGCGAAATTTTATTTTAAGGAAATAACATTTTGATCTTTTGTTTGTTGATCAGAAGAAAGGCTGCAGCTCAAAATGATGTTTTCGTGAATTTAATATTTTCGTTTTTATATAACCTCTTTCGACGTAGTTTATAGTTTTATTATCTTTTAGATGGTATTAAAGCAATAATCGTTTTACTGTATAACATTATACCTCCTTAACGTGTTAATTAGGTTCAGTTTTGACTCTGCTGTTACGCGAAGCAATTTCTATCAATATATAACAAAGAAAAATATCTTACCTTTCTCTCAGACGTAAATAATTTGACTTCTTTCTTACACACATGCACTAATTTGTCTTTAGGGATGGACTCTTTCGTTTTTGAATTTGTGTCAGCAACCTATACATTACCATGTAGAAAAAAATCGTATTATTTGTTAAATCATTTATTGCACGAGTGGAGACTAGACCTGGAGGTCTATGATTATATGAGTCAAAAATTGAGTAAAACAATGTTCTAATATGAATAATGAGGATACATGAGGATAATTTAAAGTTATTAGTTATATTTATTATCAGATAATTACCTTGAGATTTATCGGATGTCATAATTTCACGACTAATTAGCAGTTAGTTTCTTGGGTTTTAATTTTCACGTGAAATATAATTGAAGCCAATGTTTATAAATTTTCGTTCTCGTCTGTTAATTACAAGTGATACAAAACTATATAGTATTAAATGATTGCTGTCGGAGACGTAGTGTTAAGGTTGCAAGGATTTGTTCTCGTCTGTTAATTACAAGTGATACAAAACTATATAGTATTAAATGATTGCTGTCGGAGACGTAGTGTTAGGTTGCAAGGATTCGTTCTCGTCTGTTAATTACAAGTGATACAAAACTATATAGTATTAAATGATGGCTGTCGGAGACGTAGTGTTGAGG